CATCCTGTCCGTGTTCACACTGACGGGCCCCATCCTGTCCGTGTTCACACTGACGGACCATCATCCTGTCCGTGTTCACACTGATGGGCCCCATCCTGTCCGTGTTCACACTGATGGGCCATCATCCTGTCTGTGTTCACACTGACGGGCCCCATCCTGTCCGTGTTCACACTGACGGACCATCATCCTGTCCGTGTTCACACTGACGGACTATCATCCTGTCCATGTTCACACTGACGGGCCCCATCCTGTCCGTGTTCACACTGATGGGCCCCATCCTGTCCGTGTTCACACTGATGGTCCTTGCCCTGTGTCTATGTTCACACTGCTCTTTCTCCCTGTGTCCATGTTCACACTTACTGTCCTCACCTTCTGCACTGTGGTAGTTATTCCCACAAACTGAACGAATCTCAGCGTGCTCCTTCTTTTCTCCCTGCAGGGTCTCCTTATCATGTTACTTCCCAGCACTTGACAAGGCTTCCTCAGAGGAAGTCTTTGTCATTGCTCATCACTTCCTTGTCACTGCTCACCGTGCAAAGGTCAAGCTGAGGCCAAAGAAGAAGTCCTAGTTCAAGCCTCAAGAGCAGTAAGAACACTTGAGCACCTGAGGGGTGGAACAAGGATACAGCAAGCACTGGATGAACTTCGATGCCCGCTCAGGGAGAAGCACTTACCAAACAGGAATGAACACACCTCTGCTCTGGTAAAGGGCACAGTCACCCCAAACATGTCAAAGTCAAGAAAGAAACAACCCCTCCTGCTCTAAGACGAGAAACAAGAAGCCAAGGAGGTGGATGCACGCTCCTCCCGACACAGCACTGAGGAACCAGCAGGGCAGGCAGGAGGCAGAGGAAGGACGCAGAGCGAGAAGCAAAAGCTGACAGAAGTGCAGCTGCTAGTGGGGCACATGGAAATCCAGAGGAGTCCAGGGATACGTTTAAAGAATTGAGGCAGGCCGCTGATCCAGAACCAGCACGGCACATCGATTACACGTCTAACACCACACAGTAGGAAAGGGGCATTTTAAGAAAAACTATTTACAACAGCACCAGAAATTAACATAACCAAGAACAGATAATGTAGTAAAGGGTAGGGAAGGCTGTAGAGAAAACAAAAATATTTAACTGGAAATTATTAGACATCTAAATAAATGAAAAGGTATGGTGTGTTCATACTATACAGGAGTCAATATTGTAAAAATACCCTTTCTCCTAAAATTGACTGATAAGTTCAATGGAATCACGATGAATATGTATTTTTTTTAATAATAACATAGACATTTTGAAAGATTTACAGAAATCCAAACAACGAAGAACAGTCAAAATCTTGCTGGAGGAGAAGAGAAGAGGGCAGGACTGATGAAGATGCTGAAATCACTCCTAGGGCAGCAGAGACTAGTGGATGGATGAGGGACTCTGTACAAAGGAAGAGACAGGAGCCCCAGGGACTTGATGAGGGGAGGCATGATCAATAGTAAATAATTATATCAGACAGACACAATGTATATGAATGATTGTACCTAGCATAATGTATATAAATGATACCAAAGGCAATTTACACATTCAATGCAATCTCAATACAAATACCAATTCCATTCTTCAACGAGATGGAAAAGGCAATCTCCAGTTTCATTTGGAATGGAAAGAAGTCCCAAATAAGCAAAACACTCCTTAAAAAGAGAACAAAGGTAAGAGGCATCCCAGTCCCCGATTTTAAATCCTACTACACTGCCATGGTGGTCAAGACAGCATGGTACTTGTACAATGACAGACACACAGATCAATGGAATAGAATTGAGAAGCCAGAAATCAGCCCACCTACCTAAGGACAACTGATTTTTGACAAGGAGATGAAATCAGTGAAGTGAGGAAATGACAGCCTTTTTAACAAATGGTGCTGGCAAAATTGGAAAACTATCTGCAGAAAACTCAAGCAAGATCCACACCTCACTCCATACACAAAAAACAACTCAAAGTGGATCAAGGACCTAGGACTAAAATCAAGGACTATAAAATTCATTAGAGAAAAGCTTGGAAGAACTGTAGAAGTCCTATTCCACAACATGAACAATCTTCCAAGCATCCTGAAAAACCTACAACCAGGAGAGGACAAAATAGATGAATGGGACCTTCTAAGAATCAAATCCCTATGCACATCCAAAAACTTCCCCACCAGGGTAAAAAGGGAAGCCACAGGCTGGGAAAAAGTATTTGGTAATGACATATCAGATAAGGGACAGAGCCGCTGTTCATAGGGTTGCTGTGAGTTGCAGTCAAATCGATGGCACCTAACAACAACATAAAAATTGTTCACAACCAGCCAACTAAGCATTATGGTAAATGTAAAATAGAGGAAAGCTGCTAAGGACCCCGTTTCCTCGGATCTATGATCAGCCCCTGTGAGAGCAGCAGTCAAGACATGAAACAGCATCACCCACAGAATAACGATGTCCATTAACGACGCTCACCGGGCTGCTGCCCACTGGGAGGGCTGACCACCAGAGCTGACCACCCTCATCCACTGACTACTGGAGCCGACCACCCTCGTCCACAGGCTCTGTCCACTGAGAGCTGACCACCCTCATCCACGGACTACCAGAGCCAATCGCCCATGTCCACAGGCTCCATCCACCGAGGGCTGACCACTGGAGCTGACTGCCCTCATCCATGGACTACGGGAGCCAACCACCCTCGTCCGCAGGCTCCATCCACTGGGAGCTGACCGCCCTTGTCCACCAACGACTGGAGCCGACTGCCCTTGTCCATAGACTCCATCACTGGGAGCCGACTACCCTCGTCCACAGGCTCCATTCTAGGTAGGAACATCTGTTTTCCAAAGACATGAAGTCACTGGACACTCCTTTCAAGCTGGCCTCTAACTTTCATGCATGAGTGCATCCTTCCCTGTTAGAGACCTCAACCACTGCTATGGGATCCCTTCTGACCCACAGCTGATTGTCTACAGGTTTCCGAGGCTATAAATCTTCATGGGGGAGACTGCTCATCTTTCTCCCTGGGTGTGGTTGGTGGATTCGAGCCATCAACCATGAGAGAGAGCATTTATGTCAATGGTTCAGCAGACAGGTCACCAGTTAGACCCCTGATGAGTCTGCTTCACAAATGTGCTGTCCTAAGATCGGACCACAGCCCTGTGCCCAGCTCCTGACGCTCACAGCCCTCTCTCCCCACAGCCCTCCCTGGAAGGCACTTCATGGCAACAATAAATGGAAGTTCTGAGCTCGCTGTAGTCTCCGCTGTGCACGGCAGCGTGATGGAGAAGCTTGACATGTTGCCAGAAAACGGCCCAGGGACGCGGAGTGAGCTCATGCAGGCGGGAAGAGCACTGATGGACTGACTAGTGCACACCGGGCCGACACCACACCCTCAGTTCATAAACCACTTACAGTCTGTGGAGAACACAGAAGCCAGGGATGTGTGCACACTAAAAGGGGTTGAAATACAGCAGGACCCACGAGACCCAGGCCTGTTTGTGGAGAACTCAGGAGCTGTGAATTGTTTCTGCATTTTACACGGGTGGGGAGAGGAAGCCGTCGAGTTTGGTAACACATAGAAAGTATATGAAATTTCTCTTTCAATACCCATACCCAGGATTTAATAAAACCTTATTTAAGGAAAAATAATCATTTCCTGTTATCTGTGGCCTGGTGGTTAGGGGTTGCCCTGCCAACCCAAAGGCAGGCTATTCGAATCCACCAGTTCCTCGTCAGGAGAGAGATTGGCACTTCCTCCTGTACGATTACAGCCTGGAGGGTCAGCCAGGATTCAGTTCTCACTGACAGTGGGTTTTGAAATGAGATTATCGCTGGCTTCATTAATTTTGCCTGGCTGCTTCCACCCTGAGGTGGCAGAGTTGAGCAGTGACAGTGTGCCTGGGCCCAGAGCCCCAGACTTCACTTTCTGGCCCTTTCCCAGCAAGTGCCGAGCCCATGTGGACAAGCCTCAGCGGTGAATGAGGTGCCGGGAGTACGTTGGCGCGCGCTGTGCACCATCGCCCGTATCTGGCTCATGTGGGGTCAGCGGCGGGCACCATGCAGTCAGCGGCAGACCCCAGCGAGCACAAGCACAATCTTCTATGCGCTCGGAACCAGAGCACTGGTCCAGCTCCCTCAGCTGTGATGGCCACTTCCCTGTGGTGGGCAGGACACAGTCCCCCACCGGCCAGGACACAGTCAGTAAGTGGACTGGGAGCACACAGCCTCTGCCACTGCCCAGGCCCAGCACCACTCTGATGAATGCTAGCACTCACCGCCAGGTCGAGCTGCTGGTTCCGCGTGCTGATGGACAGCTCAATGGTGGACAGCTGCAGGTCCTTCCAGAGCTCAGGGTGCGCCTCTCGGGAAGGGGCTGTGAAGGCCCCGGAGACATGAGTCAGTGTGTCAGAGCCCTGTTCACTGGAGCAACTCCCCCACCGGAGGACCAGTCCCCAGAACACCCTCCTCACACCAATGAACCTCCTCGCACCTGTGGTCAACCCCCACCAGAGCACCCTCCGCCACTTGTGGGCTCCCTCCCACCAGAATGCCCTCCCTCCAGCTGTGCACGCCCTCCTCCCACAGGAGCGCCCTCCTGTCTGGTGAAGGTGTCACGGGAACTACTGGGACAGGGCCGCTGGCAGCACTGCACACTCACCCTCCTGAGGCTGCACCCAGTAGGACACCAGGCGCCGCAGAATCCTCCGGTACAGTGAGGGCCGGGGGCCGGCCTCTTCTGGCTCGCTGGGGGGTCTTTCTGTGGGTCCCATGTAGGAGATTGAGGCCTGGTGTGTCTGCGGCCATGCCTTAATGAGGGAGAGACAGTGTGGTCACACAGCCAGCTCGGTCCACGTTCAGGAGTGTTTGCTGGATGACCGGTGGATGATTCAGCTTCTCCCCGATTCCCGCACTTACACGTTGTTGCTCTGCTTCTTCTCAATGTCCTCACACCCCCAGCAACCTGTACGTCTCCCGAACAGCCTGCCTCTAGGCCAGTCAGCGGGCCCTGCCTGAACACCTACTGTCCCACTGAAGTGACCACAAAGGTTACCTCCTGACTTCCCCGGCTGTGATGTTTTTCAACTGAAAATCACTGCCATCGAGTCAGAACTGCCCCATGGCTGACCTCTAATGGGTTTTCAGAGGCTGTAAGTCACACGGGAGGAGAGCACCCCACTTCCTCCTGGGGAGCGGCTGGTAGATGCAGGCTGCATTTGGCACATGTTCTGTGATGAGTGGCGCTACTTAAAAATAGAGTGACACTCATGGAGCTCTGGTGGCCTAGTGGCAAGAAGCTGCACTGCAATCCCAGAGGTATGTGGTTCGGATCCACCAGATGCTCTGCTGGAGAAGGTGGGGCAATCTCCTCCTGTACCAGTCAGATCTGAGTTGACGGTACACACAAAAAAATAATAAAATAAAAATGTAAATAAAATTTTAAAAAGTACAACCCTCAATGCTCCATTAGCACCGGGTCAAGGTCCTCATTACATGTGAATGCCACCTGCCAGTTTTCAGACTGGTCATCCCAATGTGGACAGCGTGAGTGGGCATCACAGCAGAGCACAGCGCACAGTCCAGTCAAGACTACTACTACTGCTTTTCTAGCAGTGTCAGATCAACAGACACGTTACTACAAATTAAGCCAGCACTTCTCACTGCCTCGCCCCAACAGGGTGCTGCATCTCACAGGAGCCCGTTACCAAAACGCGCGGGTCGAGTCCACCGGCGCTCTGAGGGAGGAGGGGCAGTCTCCTCCCACAAGGATTTACAGCCTCGGAAACCGGTGCAGGGTCACCCGGAACAGGAACTGACCGAACGCAGCAGGTCTGTTTCTTTCCGAGTCTGCAGCGACCCCTTCTCTGATGACGGGACACTGCAGCTGTGCTGTCCACTGGGCTGATGTCACCTGGCATCTATGTGGGCACTGGCCTGAACCAGGAGAGACCATGTCTAATTCACACAGTGGCCACACTGGGCTGATGCCATGACACCTGCGGGCATGGACGGTGGCCTCACAGTGCGGTGGGCAAGCCTGCCATGCGGCCCCGGCCCGAGGGCTGACAGACATCATGATGAGACCGCAGGCCGGGCACGTGGGAGTGACCGAGCAGCCCAGGGGGGAGGGTGGGGAAGGGAAAGTCAGGGGGCGGTCAAAGACGGACGAGTGGCGGTGCCTGTCACATATACATCTTTGGCACAGGAAGGTGTCCCCAAGAGACACCCAGAGTGACGATGGCACAAGGTGACAGGCACACTTACCCTCAGTGTGCTGAAGAAGTGGGCGGCCTTGGCTTTGAGGGGCCCGAGATACCAGTACCTGAGGGGCCAGAGAGAGTCCGATTAGCACATGAGAGGAGCTCTGTGTGGCTGTACAGACGTTAGTAGTGGGGAACTGGGGCAGGCTGGGAGCACACGGGAGCACCACGCTGCCTGCAAACCGGAAATGGCTCTGAAAGCCAGTGGAACTGCTGCTCTGTGGCCAGATGCCACTCACCCGCCCCAGACTGGCCACTGGGACAGGAGACGACAGCAAACAGGAGACCAAGTCCGAGATCAAGATAATCAGGGCATGCCTGCAGATGAGGCGATGTGAATATTCCAGGACGCGATGTCTAGTGTACAGAGCCACATCTCTCGAAAGTTCAGTCACAGCTTCATCAGTGGGAATAAATGGAGATGAGGAGAGGTACCAGGAGAGAGGACGCTGTGTCGGGAGAGGATGCTGTATCAGGAGAGAGGACGCTGTGTGGGGAGAGGATGCGGTGTGGGGAGAGAACGTTGTGTCAGGAGAGAGGGCGCTGTGTGGGAAAAGGGGCTGAGTGACAGAAGTCTCTGTAGAAGTGCAGAGAGAGCACACTGTGAGGAGAGGGGTGGGCCCACAAGGGGCACGGGCATCTTGGTGGCGCAAAGGCTGGGGAATGGGCACAACACCGTCCTCAGCCTCTCCTCAGCCCGTAAGGAAGGCTCTGCCCACCGTGCAGGAGATGCGAAACTTAAGTCAGCAGATGGACCTCACACAGGGAGCTGGCCAGGAAGCTGGCCCAGCCCCCCGGATCTAGGATGCCGTCCCCCTCACGACAGAGCCAGCACCACCAGCCTTCATGCCTCAGGACAGTGGGTCCCAAATGCAGGACCTTCAGGAAGGTCCCACCAGGATGGGAACGGCTTTGCATGGTGGCCACGCCGTCCGATGTGCACTGGGCAGGGAGGAGGTGGCTCTCTCCAGGCTGGCCTGAGCGGACCCCCTCCTCACTGTGTCCACACGCAAACACACCCTGCTCTCTAACCACCACGCCAATGGCAGGACCAGAACCACCCTCAGCCTTTAGGCATGCAGAGGGCAAAGTCCTCCCTGATTGCCAGCGTGCCTCCCACGTTAGTGTCCCAGACGCTATGCCCACTCACAGGAGACCACTGCACTAAACCCTCAGGGACCTGACTGCCTGGCTGCCCCCCACATCAGCATCCTGGAACCCAGATTCGCGCCCACGAGGCCACTGCACTGAAGCATGGAGGCAGGGACAGACCAGGTTCAGAACTCACTTGCCGACTCTGACGCTGGCATCGCGGAAGGAGCCCCACTGCAGGCCACTCATTGCGAACACAGGCTGCTCCTTCTCGCTCTGGAAGGGAATGGATGGAATCAGAGCACGGCGACAGGGGCCCGGGACTCCCCCCCCAAAACGGCACTATTTCACTGTGACACCTCCACCCCACCCTGCACATGTGTGAGGGAGCCACACAGTTTGCAAAACCATACAGCGTGTGCACTGTGGCTGGGCACTGCCACGTGGGCTCAGGCTCGGTGACAAGGCAAGGAGAAGGGGACCCTGCCCCTCAGCCATCGCCACTTGGTCAACCCAGCTCGCCGAGGGTCCTCCTCTCTTTCTCAGACCCTCTGTCCTTCCCACATGATGTCCTTCTCCAAGGACTAGCTCCTCCAACAACATGCTCAAGGTTTGGGAAGTGAAGCCTCACCATCCCTGCCTCCAGGGAGCTCCCTGGTTGTACTTTCTCCAGGACGGACTTGTTTGGCCTCTTGGTAGTCCATGCTCAGTATTCTTCACCAGCACCAGAAGCGAAGGCATCAATTCTTCTGTAATCCCCTCTTTCCTGTTAGCTTTCCGAGGCGCAGGAGGCAAGTTTAGGTCAGGCACACCTTCCTCTTTACACTGACATCCTTGTTATTTAGCACCTGGAGGGCTCTAGGAGAGCAGACTTTCCCACTGCAGTATGTCTTGATTTCTTGATTGCTAATGCCGTCAGCTTAATTGTGGATTCAAGTAAAATAAAATACTGACAATGTCAATCTTCTCTTCCTCTATCACAATGTTGCCCATTGCTCCAGGAGTGAGAATTTCTGTCTTCTTGATGCTGAGATGTAATCTACACTGAAGGTTGTAGTCTTTGATCTTCTGCAGCACGGACTTCAAGTTTTGGCGAGCAAGTTGTGTCATCTGCTAAATGTAAGTCTCCTCCAATCCTGACGCCACAGTTTTTTCTTCATAGAGTCTGCCTTCTCAAATGATTTGCTCAGCACAGACGGCACAGGTACAGGAAAAGGCTATGATCCTGACGCACGTTGTTGTGGATTTACACCATGCAGTGCTCCCTTGTTCCTTTCAGACAACAGCCTCCTGATCTAATCGTAGGCTTCACATGAGCACAATTAAGCCTTCTAGGATCCACATTCTTTTCTGTGTTAGCCATAATTTGCTACAATCCACACAATTAACAGCCATTGCATAGTAAATAAATACAAGCAAACCCCTTTCTGGTATTTTCCATCTGACATTGACAATGTCCGTCGTGACAAGGTTTCTTCTGAATCTAGTTGTAGGTATACTGAAAACTCTTTCAGCAGGGGGTCGACTCTGACCACAGTGACCCTACAGGGCTGGACACGACTGCTCCGCAGGGCCTCTGAGGGGACATCTTGCTTGTCGTCGGTCACCTGGTTAAGGAGGCATCTGCTGGACTCCTCCCTTGGTGAGTTCACTCTCGAGCTGTAATTACTAGGCACCTGCTCTTAGCACGAGGGTCAGAGCCCAGCACCTGACGGCGACAGCATCTCCTGGCACGAGGGTCGGAGCCCAGCACCTGACGGCGACAGCATCTCCTGGCACGAGGGTCGGAGCC